GGTGTGCAGGAGGCAGCTGGTCAATGTTTCTCTCTCATCAATGTTTCTGGCTCTCTATCCCTCTCCCTTCCTCTCTATGGAAAATCAATAATATACAATATATTAAAAAAAAAAAAAAAAAAAAAGACTGCTACCAGTGGATGAACTTCCCCTGTCGTTAGGGGAGTGAGGTTTAAGGGGTGTTTTGGAAAGAAACATTTCAGAAGCTCCCACTGGAGGATGGGCTGTGGAAGAAGGATTTCTTTGTGTAAAGTGACATTTCTCAGCTTCCAAAGTCCCCTGCCCTTTAAGCCAGTCCTGGAGGAGGGGCAGCTGGGAGTTCAGCAGAGTCAGACACCGGCCAGGCCAGTGTCCCGAGTTCCCGATCCAGGTTGCAGTTGGTGTGGTTCGGCATTCAGGCCCGATTAAAGCCCACTAGTCCATGTGTGCAGCCCAACCTGGCAGTGGCCACGTGCGCGGGAGAGCGCAGCCCCGCAGCAGGAGTCCCGAGAGAGAGAGAGAGAGAGAGAGAGAGAGAGAGAGAGAGAGAGAGAGAGAGAGAGAGAGAGAGAGAGAGCTCACTTGTTTGGTTAGAAGTTTAAATATTTAGGTTTTGTGCCCTTGCAGTGGTCACGCCCATCCTGACCAATTACTTGTTTACAGGTGTGATTGACAGGCAGTTAGCCTCCCACTTCATCAGACCTCACTGGGCAGGAGTCTAAATTGCCTTTGTCTAGTTCCTTTCCCCATCAATGAGTGGGGAACAGACTTGGAGAGTTTAAATGTAGCTTTTTGGCAAAGCTGTATGAATGGCATGTCTCTAAATAGTCTTCCCTTCTTTCCCATTAAATAATTACCAGGTTATTACATCGGCATCAGCTTTACACTTTCACTTGTCCCCTTTTATGTTTTGATGCCACTTTTTACCTCTTATTATATTGCATATTTATTAACAAATTCACATACCATTCTACTACAGAATTTCAGTTTTCTAAGTCTGATTGTATATTTTTCTTTACCAAATGGTGTATATTTTTACATGTTTTCATGCTGCTAGTTCGTGTCATTTCCTTTCAGCTTAAAAATCTTTGCAAGGTATCAATATGTCAGTGGTGATAAAACTGGCTTTTGTTTATCTGGGAAAGTATTTCTCCAGCCTATCCGAAGGACAACTTAGCTGGATGGAGTATTCTTATCTGGCATGTTATTTCTTTCAACTCTGTGTTATTCTACTTTCTCTGGGTGTGTAGGGGTTCTGCTCAGAAATCCACCGACAGCCTAATGGGGGTTCCTTTGGAAGTAACAATCTTCCCCCCCCCCCCCCGTGCTTTTTTTTGCATTCTCTCTTTATAGTTGATATTTGACAGTTTCATTATACTGTGTCTTGGAGAAGGTCTTTCTGCATTGAGAGAATGGAGTGATCTTTTGGTTTTGTGATTTTTTAAAAGTATTTTTTTGTTTGTTATTGATTTCAGAGAGGAAGGGAGAGGTAGAGAGAGAAATAGAAACATCAATGATGAGAATCATTGATTAGCTGCCTCTTGCACGCCCCAACTGGGGATAGAGCCTACAACCAGGCCATGCTATGACCAGGAATCAAACCAGGTAACCTCTGTGTTCATGGATTGATGCTTTGAGCCATACCAGTGGGGCTGGATTCCTGATATTTTATGTCCAAATCTCTCCCTAGGTTGGGAAATTCTCAGCTATTATTTTTAAAAATATATTTTCTTCCTCTTTTCCTTTTGGAACCCAAAATTATTTTTATATTTATACTTTTAATAGAGTGCCGTAAGTCACGTAAGGCTTTATTCATTCTTTTTTCTTCTAGTTGGTTTATTTCTTTTTTTCTCACTTATACTTACATTTGTTTTTGTTCTTTAATATGTTTTTATTTATTTCAGAGAGGAAGGGAGAGGGAGAGAGAGATAGAAAAATCAATAATGAAAGAATCATTGATTGGTTGCCTCCTGCACACTCCCGACTGGGGAATGGAGCCTGAAACCAGTGACTGGGAATTGAACCATGACTTTCTGGTTCATGGTGGACACTCAACCACTGAGCAACACTGGCTGGACTGCTTACATTTGATTTACTCTTCTATAGAAACTTTCTATTGCATTTTTAATTGCATTCATTGAATGATTCAGTTCCAGGATTTCTGTTTTGTTACTTTTTATGATATACATCTCTAATAAAAAGTTATTTTTTCTATAACCATTTTGTTCATATCTTCTCCCCACTCCGATTTCTTTCTGAGTTTTGTCGTACCTCCTTGAGTTTCTTCAAAACAGCTATTTTGAATTCCTTACCTGCTCCATCACAAAATTCATTGAACTTGGTATTTGGAGAATTATTGCTATCTTTAGGTGATGATATGTATTCTTATTTTTTTATATTTCTTATAATTTTTCATTGCTGCTTTTGCATTTGAAGTATAGGCACCTCTAGAGAGTTTATGTGAATTAAACTCACAATAGAAGTGCCATAACTGTATTTTAGTCTTGAATCTTATCAAATCCTACATTTAAAAATGGTTATTTTTAAAAATAATTTTCTCAGATGGGAAATAATTAAATTCCAATCACCTGGGGACTAGGTAAGTGAAATGTGGTAAATTTATACCCTGTAATAGGACTCAGCAATAAAAAACAAATTCATTGGGCCCTGGATGGTGTGGTTCAGTAGGTTGGAGCATTGAGAGCAGGTTTGATTTTAGTCATGGCACATACCCAGGTTGTGGGTTTGGTCCCTGGTTGGGGCACATGTGGGATGCAACCAATCGATATTTCTTTCTCACATTGATGTTTCTTTCTCTCTCTCCTTTCCTCCCTCTAAAATCAATAAACACATTCTTGAATGAGGATTAAACAAACATACAAAAAGCCAAGTTTATTGGTACATGAAACAACACAGATAAATCTCAAATGCATTGTGCTGAGTAAAAGATACAAGACTCATACGATTAATACTGTTCGATTCCATATACATGACTTTCTAGAAAAGGAAAACTTACTGGCATGAAGAATAAATAGTGGCTGCCAGAGGTTAAGAGTGTAAGAGAGCTTGACTTCCAAAGAGTAGCATAAAAGAAATGTTTAGGCTGTGATGAAATAAATTCTGTTGTTGACTGTGGTGGTGGTTACACAGATCTATGCATTTGTCAAAACATATAGAGTGAACTTTGGTGTATATAAATTAAAAAGTAAATTAAATATTTTAATCCCAAAAAATATCTTAGATGTTTTTACTTAAACATTTTCATTTTTTAATTTTCATAATGGACTTTTAAATAAAAATATTCATTTGCATTTTCTTTTTAATTTTATTTCTGCTCAATTCTTTTTTTTTTAATTCTCACCCAAGGATTTTTTTTTGTTTTTGTAAATTGACTTTTAGGGAGAGAGGAAGGGAGAGAGAAACATCTATATGAGATTCATCAAGATTACCTCCCACTGGAGAAGGAAACCTACAACCTACACAGTTGCCCTGATTGGAATCGAACTCACACCTTCTGGTGTAGGGACAGTGCTCCCAACGATTGAGCACCCAGCCAGGGCTATTACTGGCCAGTTCTATAGCCCATTCTAAGTTTTTCTTTCTATTGGTTTAAAGATAACCTTATTTAATTAATATGTATTTTCTTTCAAATAGTAAACATAATTTTTTGGTTTACTTACTTTTAACATTTTAAAATTAGGATTGAGTTATTTTTTACATTTATAATAAAATGTATCAGATATTACACTTATGGTTTCTATCTTTGGTGTCATACTTCTTGATCTCATTTATTGTTTTCAACTTAGTGGTTTAAGCATTTCAAATCTTGAATCCACATGAATTCTATCACATATAATTTATGGATATAACCTTTATTCCAAATTATTGGGAATGACTTGCTGTTTGGAATATTCCATTCTTTCTTTCATCGTTTTGAAGTGGTACATTTATTACACTAGATTTTTAAAAACAATCTTGGCCTTAGTGTTTTCATTAAGCAGATGCCAAACTATTTTGAATAATAGAGTAATTTATTAGTATTTCTTAGCCATTTTTCTTCTTTTTAGAATATTCCCTGGCTGTTAATTTAGATTTTTATTTAATTGAAATGAAGTTAAGGATACTTATGTATACTACACAATATATTAAAAATCAAAGAGAAAAAAAGTACATACAAAAATTTGTTGAGATTATTATTGTAATTTTGTCAGAGAATATTGATCTATGAAAGGGTATATCTCTATTTGTGAAGTAACTTTGTCACAGAGGGAAGAATATTTATAATAATAAAAACGTAATATGCTAATTACACCAGACAAGCTTTGGGGGCTAGTCCTTTTCACAAGGGACTTGAAACTTCTTCCTGAGTGCCAGTGCAGGTCAGGGCAGCGCCCCAGCACCTACCAGGACGCAGCGATGGGCAGACTGGCCAGCACAGCAGATCCAGAAGGACCCAGAACTGGACCCCCCCCCCCCACGTGACCCACCTCTGCGCAGAGCAGGAGATGGGAGCCGGGAGGCGCGAGGGGTGCATAGGGCCACTAGTATTTATATAAATGAATAAAGGTATTTATTTTCTTTTGGATTGTGTCTCTTTCTTGATTTACCTGCAATTTTCGTTCATTGCTTGCATGATTTTGATGGACTAACTTTCTTGCTGCTTTCCCTCCCCCAAAACACACACACACTCTCCCCCACGCCCTGCAATCTGTGATGGGGTTGGATTCGATTCTTCCACTGTATTGCCAGGATCTATCTTCCAGGATTTGAAAAAGTGAAATTGGCACGCAGGTGGCCTCTCCTTGACAGCTTCGTGTCCGCATTGCACACTGGCTGCACAGAGAACCTAGCTGTTATCCGTAACGTTTCGGGAGCCCGTGACGGAACCAGGGAGCTATCCAGACCGCCCCAAACTTCCCCAGCGGAGGTGGCACTCCCGCCCATCCCCGAGGCTGCAGCGCGGACCCAACGGGAGGCCCGGGCTCAGCGGCGGGGCTTCTGCGCATGCCTAGGCCCGCCTTCTCCCCCTGCACCGTAGCCTTTTGCTTTTGCTGTTTGTCTCTGGCCTCGCTCAGGAGGCGGTTCTGGGGTCCCGGAGTCTCTGCGATCTCGGGGCCAGTGTTCCCTGAGGAGGGAGCCCTGGTGAGCGCAGGAGGCTTGGACGAGGACTGAAGGGCTCGCGCAGCGCCTGGGAGGAGCGCTATGGTCCCCAGGGCGGCAGGACCAGCGTCTCCGTGGGACCCAGAACTGGACCCCCCCACGTGACCCACCTCTGCGCAGAGCAGGAGATGGGAGCCGGGAGGCGCGAGGGGTGCATCTGGTCGGGGGGAGGGCGCGGTGCTGCGGGAGGAGGGTGTGCGTGTGCATGAAGTGTTCCTTGGGGAGCTGGGTGTGGGGTGAAAGGCTCCCGCTGTCGCCGCTAACTCTGTTATTCCTCTGCAGATGGACAGTTTGCTGGGTCCCAGGTACCCTTCTGGATCTGCTGTGCTGGCCAGTCTGCCCATCGCTGCGTCCTGGTAGGTGCTGGGGCGCTGCCCTGACCTGCACTGGCACTCAGGAAGAAGTTTCAAGGACCAGCTCTTTGTGCCTCGTTTTTCCTCCGAAGGATAGTGACTCATTCAGGAGGACAGCTTTGTTAGCGGTGCAGACTAAAAGCCAGGTCTCCGGACTCCTCAGCTAGTACTTACTGTCTTCTTTTCCACACAAGGGAAAGAAGTTTTGTATAAAAAATCCTCGTGAGAAATGACGACAAAGATAAATTAAAACAAAGACCTTCCCTTAATAGCACTGCTTTTTATAGCCTTCTTAGGAGTCACTAACTAGAGAATTTAGTAATGGTAATAAGGGACATCAATGAACAGCTTATCCCTCAGTGTTCTTCACCACAGGTTTGGAGAAGGGTCAATATTCCTTCCTTAGGTGTGTTATTTATTTTAATCAGGTTTGTCATTTAAATTTTTTGTGAACACCAAGGGAGACTTAAACTACCCTGTTTCCCTGAAAATAAGACAGTGTCTTATATTAAATTTTTCTCCCAAAGTTGCACTAGGTCTTATTTTTAGGGGATGTCTTAACTTTCCATGCACTAGGTCTTATTTTTGGAGGATGTCTTATTTTCAGGGGAAAAAAAATCTATAGGAAGCAAATATTTATATTAACTCACTAAAGATTTTATGCCCCAAACTATCTATATATATAAAAGGCTAATATGCTAAGTGTTCAACCATCCACCTAGTCACTATGATGCAGACTAACCACCAGGGGGCAGACACTCAACACAGGAGCTGCTGAGCTGCAGTGACTTGGCAGTGGCAGTTCTTGGGTGACGCACCCTGAAACCAGAGAGGAGACAGCCTGATTCCTCACCACCCTGCACAATTCTACCGTTAGCTGTGGGTTATGTTGTCACTGGGGCACTGTCGGCCCAAATCTGGTTTATTGCACACCTATGTTTTTGTTCCATACCCTGTAAGACAGCAACTTTGTAGAGTGCCCTCTCGAACTTCAGAACCCCTGGGGGGATGTCAGAGAGCCGGTTTTGGCCGTATCCCCACAGGCCAGGCTGAGGGACCCCACCTGCCAAAAGGACTCTGTTCACTTCACAAACGCCAGAGAGGACAGGGAGGGACCTCAGGAAGGTTGGCTTAGGGTGTGTCAGGCCCATCTCTCCTGGTCCTACCCTCCCGGCTACCTTCTAATTAATTTCCTTTCAATGTTCAGGAATCCGTGCACCAGTATGATTATATTAGAGCTAAATAGGTTGTCTTTCACCATTTCCCTCTACCTTGTGCAGGTCAAAGGGATATTGACATTCCTCCTGTCTGCTGGGGGCTTGGGTGTGCTTCCCAGGGCAGGAGAAGTCAGGAGCTGCCAGGCAGGCCAGGTCTTTAATGATCCATTCTTCTTCTTGTAACCCAGCATGTCTTCAGAGTTGCCTACATTCTTGCAAGAACACCAGAAAATGAACAAGTCCCAGGTAAGTTGTTTGCTTGTGTCCACTTTATTTTGCAACAGACTTTGTGTGATTTCGAAGAGTCCGTATGTTAAGATGGGAAACCAGTAATAGATAAAAGTCAAACTTCACCGAAAAGGTAAAGTAACAGATCCCCACCACTGGCTGTAGGTTCATACACATTGTTAAAATATATTAGAGTTTCCAGGTTGACTTGTAAGTGTATCTCTGATGTTTCTGGTAAGCATGGTAGAAAGGGAGGCACTTGGATACAGGTGAGTTCTGTTCAAGACACAATGAGTGCCTCAATCTGTTCCTCACTGGAAGCAAAAGGGTCCAAGAGGTGGTTCAAGCAGTCAGTTTTATGATGGCCTTGTTTGTTCCTAGCATAAAACCTAGAATATTTAGAGGAATGAATGGCCTACATGCCTATTGTAAAAACTCTCCATAACTATTTAATCTTAGTTGTACTGTGTATGTAAGGCATGCAGCAAATGGTTAAAAGTTAGGTTCTCCAGTAAATGTTTCTGGGTTTCACAGTCAAATTTTATCCCATAGCATTCTGCCTTGGCTCTTCCTCTCCACTTTTTAGAACCTCCTCAGGCGAAGGTCACTAGTGACTTAACTGCACTTATCTATCTTGAACAACAGCTATGTTACCCTGCAGACGACTTTCTCCTGGAACGACTCCTTTGTCTTCTTCTCATACAGCTCTGCTGACTGCCCTCTTTTGGAGTCTTCTCACTGTGTCCCTCCTTTAGTTCTAAGTTTTCAACCTTGTTCATTAGTCTTTTTATTTTATCTCTACATCTCATTGAAGAAATAGGTAGATAGTTGAACAATAAAATTTATTGTTTTTGGGTGCTTTAAAAATATATTAATTTTCTTAATGGATATAAGATACACATTTTCCCCCAACTCACCATGGTATGGCAACACTATATTCTAAATATTCTATTTTATTCGTAAACACTTAAGTAATTTCTATTTTTCAGTAATATAAATAATGTTGCTGTGAACATCCTTTTCATTCTCTTTGCACAAATGCAGACTTATCTCCAGAATCTTGAGCAGTGCTTCTCAAGTGAGATTCTTTGACCAGAAGCAGCAGCGTAATCTGGAAACTTGTTTGAAATGCAGATTCTTATGAAATTCTGGGACGAGGCCCTGTGGTCATGTTTTAATAGGGCATCCATGGGATGCTGACACCTACTAAGTTTGAGAATCACTGCTCTTGGGTCTTATGATTAATACGAGAGGCCCGATGCATGAAGACTTGTGCAAGAATGGGCCTTCCTTCCCCTGGCTGCTGGCACTGTCTTCACTCTGGCCCAGAGCTGCCTTTTCGCCTTCCCACGCTGCCCAGAGGCCTATAGTGGCTGGGGTGATGCAGAACGTCTGTGTCGTTGTCATGGTGAGGACACAATTGTCTTGCCTTGCCCCTAGACACTAGGTGCCTGCATATGCAAATCTTTGTTGGGTAAATTTGTATACTTACTCCTGATTGGGTGGTGGGTGTTGTGAAGGTAAGGTCAATTTGCATCTTACTCTTTTATTAGTGTAGATTTTTGAATTGTAGAATTTGAGGATTTCTAATTTGTCCCGACCCGCGGGGCAACAACGGGGGTACGCAGGAACCACCTAAGAGAATGAAACAAACAAGGATCGAGAAAGAATGGAGGCAAGACAAGGTTCTGATCAAGCCTCAAAATTTTATTCAAGAACAATGGTTTATAAGCTCTCAGACTGGGAGGGGAGGGGTAGGAAAAGGGGGGGAGGGTTGTCACAAGGTGATTGGCTGGGTGGTGGGTACCTGTTCTTGGCTGGTTGACTATTCCAATGTGGGAGGGATAACAGTTTTGGTGGGCTTTTTGGCTCAACCAGGAAGTGGAACTGGGCTTTTTGGCCTCTTGCTCAACCAGGAAGTGGAACTGACCAGGAAGTGAGACCGGACTTTTTCCTTATGGCTCCCGGCACTAATTTTTCTAGGTATATTACTATTGATTAGAAGACTACTTTTCCTCCTCTCCAGATATAAAAATTATTTCTACACTAATATATGGAAAACATCACTGTTTAGTTTTCTTGTGTCTGATCATTGAAGTTGTGAAACTGTCATAAGTTTATGGCTTTTCAGGTGTTCTACTGAGTTTTGTAAGAATTCTCTTTTCTCAGTATGATTTTTTTTTCTTTTAACTTAATGGTATGCTTTCTGAAACTTTTATATTGTGATATGTCCTTTTGTGTCTTCAGTTTTTTTATTCTTATTTTCCTTACCTCATGGGCCTAATGAAATTTTGCAGTATTTTGTCTAAAAATACCAAATTTGATTTAATATTTAGTACCATAATCCATCTGGAATCTTTAAGAGAGATGTGATGAAAGGATATAATTTTATTATTTTTTTAATCCTCACTTGAGGACATGCTTAGAGTGAGGAAGAGCAAGAGAGAGAGAGAGAGAGAGAGAGAGAGAGAGAGAGAGAGAGAGAGAGAGAGAGAGAAACATGAATGTGAAAGAGAAATATTGGTCGGTTGCCTTCCCTACGCTCAACTGGAGATCAAGTACACAACAACCCAGGTATACAAACCATTTTGCTTATCTCTGAACAGTAATCACATTAAGGATTAGTTCCATACATCTTTTTCCACGTTACCTAATTCTGAACATTTCACATTGATCAGAAATTCCAGGCATCAGTGTCATTTAAGGATGTGACTGTGGGCTTCACCCAGGAGGAGTGGCAGCATCTGGACCCCACCCAGAGGGCCCTGTACAGAGATGTGATGTTGGAGAACTATAGCAACCTTGTCGCAGTGGGTAAGGTCTGTTCACTAGGCAATTCTGAATGTCATCTTAAAATCCTCCCAATCATGAGGCACAGGGACAATCTATAGAGTTTAATGATAGTTACGATTAGAACTCGGGAATCAATGCTGATTGACCACCTGTGGGCACCAGGAAGATATTTGTTTACCTCTCCAGTAAAATCTTCATGGCACCTCCATTAACCAGCTCTGGAAGCTTCCTCCCCTTTTAGTGTTCCCGACGTCTAGGCTTCCTGGTCCAAGTCCAAAATTATTTCACTTTACAGGCTATTGTTTTACCAAACCAGAGGTGATCTTCAGGTTGGAGCAAGGAGAGGAGCCATGGATACTGGAGGAGGAATTCCCAAGCCAGAGGTTTCCAGGTGAGTTAGTGTGTACCGCACAGCTGGATATCGAGGGATCTGTTATTTCCCTTTAGTTAATCCGGAGGTTGACAACTTGGAAATATTTTTTCAAGAATACCTCTTTAGAGGTCCCAATCCTTGGAAATGACTGAGAATGCTGATTCATGAATCAAACATCCAGATATCACTCTCACAAAAAATGTTCTTCTTTTTTATTTACTTTTTGAATTTTACTCTAATTTTTGCCCATCTTTACATTGTTTATTTTAGTTACTGTATATTTTTCAGAACAATTTCAGTTTACCTGCACTGCCCTACTTTCCTGCTATCAGGCATTCTTTTATACACTCATTTTTTTTCTCAAATAATTTAAAAAATATATGTACATATATTGATTTCAGAGAAGAAGGGAGAGGAAAAGAGAGAAACATCAATAATGAGAGAGAATCATTGATCAGTTGCCTCCTGCATGCCCCCCACCAGATATTGAGCCCTCAACCCATGCACCCCTGGCCGGAATCAAACCTGGGACCCCTCAGTCTGCAGGCAAGTGCTCTATCCACTGAGCTAAACTGGCTAGGGCTCTCAAATAATTTTTGAGTACATGCTATGTGCCAGTCATTTTCTTTATTTTTACTTAATATCTTTTATTTTTGAGATTTTTACATATAAAATAAAGTATACAAATCTAGAGTATATAGCTCAATGAATTTTTATATATTTATATGCCTGTGACCAACAGCCAAATAAAAAGCATGGGCTATTTTCATCATCCTAGAAGACCCCTCTTCTCTCTCCCCAGGCAGTCCCCTCCCTGCCAGATGTGCTCATGGTTCTGATCTCTATTACCCATAGGTGCATTTGCCCTTGAATATCAGACCAATGAAATTTTACAGGATGTACTTTTTTGTCTGTCTTCTTTCAGCCACCGTGGTGTCTAAGATTCAGCTGCATAACTGTTCACTGTATGATAGATCCCCATTTGTTTACCCACTCCGTTTTTGATGGAAACCTGAGTTGTTTCCATTTTTCTGTTTTTCTATTATGAGTAAAATTCTTGTACATATACCTTTTGTGGACTTAACTCTTATCTTGGATAAAAGTATGTAGTAGGATTAACTCAACCTTAGGTTAGATGTGCATATTTCTTAACTTTTAGAAACTACCAAATGAATTTTTAAAGTGGTTGAAATAATTTACCTTTTCATCAGCAATTGTCTTGCATTCTGGTGTACATCAGGAGTGTCTTTCTCATTTTTGAAGCCACACTTGTGGGCATGTCGTGGTATTTCCTTGTGATTTATTTTTAATTTTTCTTTTTCTTTATTGATTAAGGTATTACATATGTGTCCTTATCCAACCATTGCCGCCCCACCTCCCGCCAGTCATTTTTTAAGAGCTAAGAGTATATTAGTGAAAAGAAATGTCTCTTAATGAGTTTATAAAAGTGGCGCAAATGGCCACAGGTACACGAAGAGATGCTCATTATCATTAAGCATCAAGGCAATGCAAATCACAACCACAGTGAGATATCATATCACATCTGTTGTAATGGCTATCATCTAGAAAACAAGAGGTAGCAAGTGTTTGCAAGAATGTGTAAGAAAAAGAATTCTTGTGCACTGTTGGAGGAAATGGAATCAGTTTAGCCTCTATGGAAAACAGTGTGGAGGTTCCTAAAAAATTAAAAAATAGATTTACTCTGTGATTCACAAGTCAACTCCTGGGATGTACCCAAAGGAAGTGAAAACAGAATATTGAAGAGATGAATGCACTACCACATTTATCGCAGCTTTATTCACAAGTAGAGACTTAGTGCATGAAATTCGTACCTGGGGGTGTGTGTCCTTCAGCCCAGCCTGCACCCTCTCCAATCTGAGATCCCTTGAGGGATGTCCTAGATCGGGCCTAAACGGGCAGTCAGACATCCCTCTCACAATCCAGGACTACTGGCTCCCAACTGCTTGCTTGTCTGCCTTCCTGATTGCCCCTAACCACTTCTGCCTGCCAGCCTGATTATATCCCTAACTACTCCCCTGCCAGCCTCTGATGCCTAACTGCTCCCTTGCCAGCCTGTTTTCCCCTAACTGCCCTCTCCTGCAGGCCTGGTCATTCCTAACTGCCCTTCCCTGCAGGCTTGAATGCCCCCAACTGCCCTCTCTTACAGACACAAAGATTTACCCCTATATTTTAAAAAGTAAATAGTTCTTACATTTAGGTCTGTGACCCATTTTGTGTATAGTGTGAGGAAGGGATTTATATTCATTGTATTGTGTGTAGACATCCAGTTACCTCAACACCATGCTGAAAAGGCTATATTTTCACCATTGAATTGTGTTGTCATATTTATTAAAAATGAACTGAATGTATTTATTAGAATTTATTTTTTGGACTCTCAGTTTCATTCCATAGACCTGTACTTATGCCAGCACTGCATTGTCATTGTAGGTTTTTAACTTTACTTATTGATTTGAGAGAGAGAGAAGGGAGAGAGAAACATCAGTTTGCTGTTCCACTTATTCATGCATTCATTGGTTGATTCATGTACGTGCCCTCATGGAGATGGAACCTGCAACCTTGGAATGTGGATGATGCTCTAACCAGCTGGGCTGGCTGCCTGTCCAGGGCCCTGCATTGTTTTGATTACTGTAGCTTTCAATATTTTGAAATTGGGAAGTCTGTATCTTCCAACTTTATACCTTTTAATCAAGATTGTTTTGATCATTTTCAATTCCTTGAATTTTCACATGATTTTATTTATTTATTTACTAACTTATTGCTGGAAAGCCCAGAGCTCAGGCCGCAGGCACACAGGTGTAAGAAAGGGACCTAGAGCTCAGACACTGGGCTTCAAGCTCAATACTGCCACTGACTCTCTAAGGCAATAAAATAAGTATTCTGTAGACCACATCCCTGTCTCAGCCCTGGGGCTGCTGGAACAGAAAGGTTTTAATACACATCAGTCTCTTTTCTCCCCTCACCTTCAATCCCAGCTGCCCTGAACTCCCCAAGGGGAACAGAAAGACAGGTCTCTGAAACTCAACCCAGCTGAGGCCCGGGCCCCAGGTGGTAGGGGACAAATGAGGCCCTCCCCATCTCCAGCCTCTTACCCCTGCACCTTTCTCAGGCCAGGCAGAGGGCCCAGGGTCTCTGTGCTTCCCTGAATGTTGAGAAGAAATGTCCACTGGCAAATCTGAAAGCAAACAGGCTTGAATGACAGGTGTCTTTCTGGCTTTGGCCTCCTTAGTACTGTGACTGGGAGGATCCTTTTCCCTCTCAGGGGATTGTCTGTCTCCCTGGTAATGGCTTCTCTGGCAGACACTGCTGTTCCACCCCCACCCCGCAATTAGGCGGGAGACAAAATGAGATCATGCAGGGCTTGGCTCAGATCCTAGGAGGCCCACCTGCTCTGCTCTAAGGCCCAAAAGCCGGGAGAGCAGAACAAGATGTCCCTAGTCCTCAGCTTCCCATGCTCCTCGCTTTTGGAAGGCCCAGGATGCAGTGTTGCCTGAGGAACCCCACACCCCCTCACATGAATATTTAGATCAGCTTGTTAGTTTCTGCAGAAAGGCAGCTGGGATTTGATTGGGGATTGCATTCAAGTTTTACATCAATTTTGCAATGATTTCATGTTAACAATGAAGTCTTTTGATTCCTGAACATGTGATGGAAGGTATAGTGAGCATAGTTTTCTAGTTTTATTTACTTTTTTATTAGTTTTATTTTTATTTTAGAACTTCTTCAGCTCTGGTTTGTGTTCCTCTGTCACCAAAGAGCTGATTACTAGATAGTTGTTTGTAGGCTCAGAGGGAAGCTCATTCTTTCTTATTAATTTCTGTTTTATTGCCTGAGTATGTTATCTCTGTCAGTTTTTGTTAATGTTTCCTATGCACTTGACATAAAACTACTGTGTGTTTTTATTATGTTTTGATATTTAAAATTAGATATGGATTAATAATACATGTCGTATTATTATAGTTGTCTTTTCTACCCATCACTTTTTGCTTTGATCTGTCTTTTTTCTTTTAGTGTGTTTCTATTTTTCTTTCTTCTCTGAGTTCTGCTTCATTAATGCTGTTTGATCTCTAGACTCTCATAACTTATTTATCGATTCAAAGTTGTGGATTTTAGCACTTTAAAGTGTTTCTTTTTTCTTCCTGGCATCAAATTACTCTGTTTTCATTTGTTTGAAACAATATGTTTTATTCCTTTGTTTTTAGGCTTTTTGAATCATTTTTTATAAGGTTGTTTAGCCTTTACGGCATAAATTTGGGTTTTGTCTGTGAAAATTGTTTTAATTGGTGAGTTAAGCCCATTTACAATTATTGATATGACTCTTGTTTAGTCTCACTTCTGTCATATTGATATGACTCTTGTTTAGTCTCACTTCTGTCATATTGTTACATATCACATTTACTGAATTTTTCTATTTTGTGTCTTCGTTCTTTTTAGAGAAAAAAAGTTAGCAGATTTTGACGTTTCTGTTCCAGTAGTTACTTTTATATTGATATTTCTTACATTTGCTTTAGTTGCTTACTTTGTTACTTAAACCTCGATTTATTTTTCAGGTTTTAGTGACAACTTTTAGACTGTTATTTATGCATCTGTCTTTGAACTTATTCTTATTTCCTCTTTTTTTTATCTTCCTAAAGCTTTTTTAGTTGCATTATTTTTGCTTCAATAGAACATGTAACATTCACATATTATTTTCTGTCCTGTTCTACTTTTTATTTTGGTCTTAGATCTACATCTACAATTAAATATATTCAGTACTCTATTTTTTTTGTGTGTGTGTGTGGGGGGGGCAGTGATTTCTATCAAATCTTGGTTGCTTGAAGTTTATTCTCTTCTAAAAGGTTTCATGATTACACTATTACCTAAGTTCTTGAATATCTAACCTAGTTTGCCTTTTTCTGATACTTTGATGCTTAAAGGGTAATGTGACTGGACATAAAACCCTTGCCTTCTACTTTTTATTTCTTGAAAATGTTGCTCCAGTGATCCTTTTTTTGTTTATTGGTGACAGAAGTCTATTGCCAAACCTGCATTTTTGTTTGTTGAAATTTTGTGTTTTTGCCCAGAGGGCTTTTTCTTAATTTTTAAGGTGTAGTAGTTTTATTAAAGTATACTTTAGAGAGGATTGTTCCAATTCAGCTTTCCCAGGTTCATGTTGGTCCTTCTGAGTATGTGGATCAGGTCTTCTTTTATTTTTGGACAGTTTTTTTAGATTATTGTTTTTAATACTAGATTTACTCCATTGTTTTGTTTTCTTTTTAGGGATTGCAGTCGTACATACATACATGCATACATACATATAATTTCATTTAAAATTTTTAAAAATGCAGACTGCTTTCTCTATCTAGAACATTTTTTCTATCCAGTTTTCTTCTTTATTTTGTCTTTTGTTTTTGTTCATTTTTTTGCTTTTATGACCCCCCCTCCCCAATGCTTACTTATTAAAATTGCAGTTACATCTGTTCTCTCTTTGTATTTTCTATTTGTCTACTTATTTTTATGTTTGGACTTCTGTAATAAAATACCTCAGACTGGGTGGCTTAAACAACAGAAATTTATTCTTTGACAGTTCTCAAGCCTGGATGTCCAAAATGAGGATACTAGCAGGCTTGGTTTCTAGTGAGGCCTCTCTCCTTGGTCTGCAGGTAGTAGTGCCTTCTCTCTATGTCCTCACATGGCCTTTTCTCTGCACGTGTGGAGAGCAAGCAAGCTCTGGTGTTTCTTCTTGTTCTAATAAGAACACCATTCCTATTGGATTAATGCTCCACACTTATGACCTTATTTAATCTTAATTACACCCTAAAGGCCCTATCTCCAAATACCATCACATCTGGGATTAGAGTTTCAACATATGGACTTGGAGGGGCATAATTCTGTCCATAACAAGCTCCTTGTAATTTAAATACTATTTTCTAAGGTAATTTTGTTGTTTTATAGTTTTATTCTTCACTTTATTCATCTCTTATCTCCTTAATTCCCTCTTTTGGATTTCCCAGTAGTCTTAGCTTATCACTCAGAATTAAAATATCATTTTAGCATTTTCCCGCTGACCTGGGACTTTTTCTTTCTGGGAGCAATTTTATTTTTACTTAATTATGTTTAAACTAAAGGTCCAGTGCACAAGATTTGTGCACTGGGGGGAGGAGGGGTGTTGTCCCTCAGCCTGGCCTGCACCCTCTAGCAGTCTGGAAACCCTTTGGTGATGTCTGCCTGTTAGCGTAGGCCCGGGTATTGGGCCTAAGCTGGCAGTCAGACATCCCTCTTGCAATCCGGGGCTGTTGCAGTCCAAGACGCCTCACTCCTTACTGTTCTCCTGCAGCAGAGGTGGGAAAGGCTCCCACCACCGCTGCTGTGCTCACCAGCCATGAGCCTGGCTTCTGGCTGAGCTGTGCTTCCCTGTGGGAGTGCACTGATCACCAAGGGCCAGCTTCTGCATTGAGCATCTGCCCTCGGTGACCAGTGTACATCATAGCAACTGGTCATTGTGCCATTTGGTCAATTAGCATATCACACTTTTATTATATAGGATTCTGTCTCTTATTTTGCATGTGGTTGCTATAGTCTCCAGCTAACTTTTTTCATAGATTTTATATATTTGAATATTTATGTCCTTACTTAGTGGTGATTGCACTAGTAGTATTCTGTATATCCTAGTTATGCTAAAGTCATGGGTTACTATAGTTAATTTTTTTGCTATCATTATATAGATCCTCATCATTCTTTTGGAGGATACCTGGAAGATTCAGGTTTAAGCAGTTGCTATTATTCCTCAGACATTGGAAAAAAATGTGTTCTAATAGCTAGTTTTCTCTCCCTTCTACCACCATTCCAAGCTTTTTTATTTTTATTTATTTATTTTTTCATCCGAATACCCCAAAATAGAAAAATATATGCACTTACAATTATTTTCATCCCTGGATGGTGGACAAGACATCAAAGTCAGCTACAACATAAAGCATTTGTATATAGGTCACATTCATAAGAAAAGTGCTAATATTTATGTGTAAGATTAATTTTTCTTATTTCTAGACATCTGGAAACCTGATTACATGACAGAGAGAAGCCAAGACAACCAGTTTCACCACGTGTGGAAATTGGTGTTCATGAATAACAAAACACTAATTAAAGAACAAAGTACTGTAAGACGAAAACCATATAGCTTGGATACAGATTTTTTTACTTCCAGAAAAATACTCTGTCAGTATGACTCATGTGGAATAAGTTTCAACTGTATTTCAGGATTGAATATTAATAAGAAAAACTACTTAGGAAAGAAGACTGATGAATTTAATGCTAGTGGAAAGTTACTATTCAATATTATGCATGAGAAAACTCATACTAGAGAGAAAAGTGAATTTTTAAAAAATGGGAAAACTTTCAGTCATAATGAGGACCCTATTCAACATGAGAAGGTTCAAACTTTGCAGCAAAATTCTGAATTAAACACATATCGAGAAACCTTTTTTGAAAAGGCAATATTTAATATGCACAAGAGACAGATCACAGATGGGAATGACTGTGAATATAACGAATATAGAAGAACATCCTGTGAGAACCCATCCTTCTTATTACATCAGATAATGCCCTTAAAGGAAACTCACTATAAATTTAGTGTTTGTGGGAAATCCTTATGTGTGAATTCTACACTTTTAAAGTCTCATGGGTCATATATGAAACACTGTGATTATAATGAAAATGGAAATAATTTCAGGAGGAAATTATACTGCTCACAACTTCGGAAAACTCATAAAGGAGAGAAACACTTTGAATGTAATGAATGTGGGAAAACTTTCTGGATGAAGTCACACCTCACTCGACATCAGAGGATACATACAGGACAGAAAAGCTTTCAATGTAATGAATGTGGAAAAAAGTTTTGGGAGAAGTCAAACCTCACTAAACATCAGAGGTCACACACAGGGGAGAAACCCTATGAATGCAATGTATGTGAGAAAGCCTTCAGCCACAAGTCAGCCCTCACATTACACCAGAGAACACATACCGGGAAGAAACCCTATCGATGTAATGCATGTGGGAAAACTTTTTACCAGAAGTCAGACCTCACTAAACATCAGAGAACACACACAGGTCTGAAACCCTATGAATGCTATGAATGTGGGAAGTTCTTCTGTATGAATTCACATCTCACTGTGCACCGGCGAACTCATACAGGCGAGAAACCCTTTGCATGCCCTGAGTGTGGGAAATCTTTCTGTCAGAAGTCACATCTCACACAACATCAGAGAACTCACATAGGGGACAAACCCTATGCATGTAATACATGTGGTAAAGCTTTTTACCAAAAGTCTGTACTCACCAGGCATCAGATAATTCATTCTGGGTTGAAACCTTATGAATGTTACAAATGTGGAAAAACCTTCTGCTTGAAGTCTGACCTCACAGTACATCAGAGAACTCACACAGGGGAGAAACCCTTTGCATGTCCTGAATGTGGGAAGTTCTTCAGCCATAAGTCCACCCTCTCTCAACATTATAGAACACATACAGGAGAGAAACCCTATGAATGTCAGGAATGTGGGAAAATATTCTACAATAAATCATACCTAACAAAACATAATAGAACACATACAGGGGAGAAACCATATGAATGCAGTGAATGTGGGAAAAGCTTCTGCCAGAAATCACAGCTGACTCAGCACCACAGAATTCACATAGGGGAGAAACCCTATGAATGTAGCGAGTGTGGAAAGGCTTTCTGTCACAAGTCAGCTCTAATTGTGCACCAGAGAACTCATACAGATGAAAAGCCCTATAAATGTAATGAGTGTGGCAAATCTTTCTGTGTGAAGTCAGGACTTATTTTACATCAGAGAAAACACACAGGTGAGAAACCCTATAAATGTAATGAATGTGGAAAATCATTCAGTCACAAATCATCCCTCACAGTGCATCACAGGGCTCACACAGGAGAGAAGGCTTGTCAATGTAAAAATTGTGGGAAAATTTTTTACCGAAAATCAGACCTTGCTAAACATCAGAGATCACACACAGGGGAGAAGCCCTATGAATGTAACATGTGTGGAAAATACTTCTCGCAGAAGTCAAACCTCATTGTACATCAGAGAACACACATGGGAGGAAAATTTTATTATTGAAGTGCATATTAGAAATGTTGAGCCACAATTCAGCACCCACTACAACTCAGAGAGTTCAGATGTGGAGAAAGTTCTCTTGATATTCTGAATAAAGTAACCTTCATCCACAAACTAGCCTAATTTTACTCCAAAGTGATAATGTTGGACAAACTAATAGACTGCAACAAAAGGAGGATAGTGTTGTTAAGAAGTAACGTTAATTGAATGTGAAGTAACTGCTGATATAAAACCCTACAGATTTTTTGATTTTATAAAAGTTTTTAGCAAAAAATCAAAGTAGATTGTGTCAGGATTTATATTAGGGAGAAATCTGCCAATTTGAGACATATAGTTTGAAAATTTTGTTTAGATGTAATGTAGTAATAATAATTGTGTTTTTGTTTTGATGACATAAACTGTAATGTTTAGATTTATATTGTATAATGTAAATCTTTAAAACAAAACAAAAAAGACATAGCAAAATGAAGAGAATCACAAGAAGTTTCAATAATAGTATATAGAAATCTCCTGTGCCTTTCCCCAAGCTTCTTCTAATGATTATATCCTACTTTACTATATTATGTTCTCAAGTAATTGAAGCCACCCTACTTTTATGTCAGAATCAGATCATATTCAGATTTCCCCATCTTTATATGTTTTTGTTTGAAGTTCTATGAAATTTTATCATTTTGAATAATCATCAGCATAGTCAAGTTACAAAATAAAAAAGAAAGATGAAATCAGTATTTCATCAGGTTTACAAAGAATAAAGATTTTACCACAAGAAGTTATTTATTTATTTATTTTTAATTATACCCTTTTGCAACCCAAATCCTGGCAACCGTTGAATATGAAACTTTTAGAAAACAGGGATAAGTTGAGTAATCAGGGCAATAGCATTAAATGTATATGTGAAGCATCCTTTGAATTCACAGGACTTATGTATGTAAGTGGTACGTTATAAAAACTATGTGTTTCAAAATGCATAATGGAACTTAATATAATTTTGAATATGAAATAGGCATTCCTAGTTTAGTAGTGGTTACATCAGGTACATTCCCCATGTGTTTAGGGCCTGAAGCAATAGTTTAAAAGTGGGACTGCAAAGCTAATGTCAACCACTTAAAAAATTAAAAATAACAAAATGGTAAATAAAATGTATTCTATGCATTGGGAGGTCTAGGTCCTAGTCTTATTGCCCCTTTCTTTTCTCATTCAGTTCATCTCAACCCATGGGGTGCCTTGACTGCACATGTGTGATTACTCTAATCTTCAGCCTAAAGTTTGTCCAAACCCTCTGCAATTAGCAGTACCCTCCAAGATAGGGTACAGGAGAGAAGCCAAAGACAGACTTGATGACACTCAGGGGTATAAGTTGGACTATAAATTTAGGGGTCTGAGAGATACTGGGCCCTTAGAAACTTTTGACTACATAAGTAGGAGGGTTGACCCTGGAGTAGGGACAGAGTAGACTAGAACAGGGATGGATAGAGTAAAGGTGGTATACTTAGGTACATCATTAAGTTACACAAGTAATCTAAGATTATACAATCTAGTGGTTATAGATTACACAGATAGTCTAAGCTTCCACCTTGGGAAACAAAAACAAATTAAGCAAAACAAAAATAATAAGGATCAAAGTGGAAATCAGTGAAATTGAAGACAAAACCTATCAAGAAAATTAATAAAACCAAAAGCTGGTTCTTTGAAAGTCAATGAAATTGTTAAACCTCTAACTAGGTTAACAGAGAAAAAGAGGAGACACAACTTGCTAATGTTAGAAATGAAAAAGTGGCCTTAACCCCTTGGCTATCTCTTGCACACCCCCTACTGGGGATCAAGCCCACAGCCTGGGCAGGTGCCCTGACCAGGAATCGAACCAATGACCTCTTGGTTCATTGGTCTATGTTCAGCCACTGAGCAACACTGGCTGGGTTGGTTGGTTACTTTTTTATTTTGTTGGCAGTTTCTTTTGTGATCAACAAAGCTTTTTATTGTTATTGTCCCATTGACTTATTTTTGTCTTTACATCCCTTGAATTTGGGGTCAAATTAATAAAATCCTTTCCAAGACCAAGGTCCAGAAGTTTAGTACCCATGTTTTCTTCTATGTAATCATTGTTTCAGCTCTTAGATCTTGGATCTATTTTGAGTTAATTTTTGTATATGTATATACACTAGTGCATCCTTATTGTTAGAGGGGAAACATCCACCATATGGTCTAGGAAAGGGGTTAATTCAAGTGGGACTTCAGCCCTATGAAGAAATCATTGCCTGGGAGAAGGCCCATAATCTCGATGATTCTGATTTGGAGGCTTTCTGGAGGAAGAAATTTATAAATTTGATCAGAGAAAAGAAGAACCCTCTGAAGTATACCAGCAAATCCATATGGATCCATGACTGGCCATCTCTCCACTGGACCTTTAGAAATCTTACTAAGGTGGCAGACCCTTGAGTTTTTGTGGAATTTATAGTCCAGCCTCAGACCATTTCTTATACAAGCAGAGACTAGAACTACTGATGCCTACAATGTGCTTATAAGAAAAATGTCAGTATGTGAGCTCCTTTTATTAGATCCAGTTTGTTAGTACATTTTATTCTAATTCCATTTCATGGTTAGTCAGAAGAGTATAAAGTTTTTATTTCCTGTTACAAAATTGCTGACTTATGGGTTTCTATATGCATATGATTCCCATTCCTGGTCGTTGGGGCACTTAAAGGCACACAGGCGATATAATACTCTGAGAAACTCATGGCAAAAAAATTCTCTGCACTATGATCCCCAGCAAAGAGGGAGTGCCATTTGATGGAGACTTCTAAAAATAATTCCCACCAAAAGTTAACATTCTTCCTGCAGTTGTTTTTGGTTGTTTTCTGCCTGTATAATCTTTTAATTTTATTGATTTCACACTTCCAATTACTTTTTTCCATTCATATTTCTGTCATGTTTTAGAATAAGGATTCACACTGATTGGACTGTTCAACTTAATTTTTTTAAAAAAGTATTTTTATTGATATCAGAGAGGAAGGGAGAAGGAGAGATAGAAACATCCATTCTCTATTCATCTTCTTCAGCAGAATTCAGTATGATCTTGAGGGGTATTTTTTTTTTTTCTATTAAGTTGTTGAGAGGAATACAATTTTCTTTCCTGATTCACTTTTATAAGAATAATTGAATATTATCAGTAAAACCTTTTGCATCCAACATCAATCCCCTAAAATAAATGTTATCTACTGAGGAATCATTTTATGTAACTCATAGGAATTCTAAGACAGAATGGAAACAAAAAAAGAGGGGGGAAAACCTTTGATACTGTTCCCGAGATATTTACAATTTTACAGTGAAATAAAATATAGAATAAGAGATATTTCACACATTTAATCAGAGAGTGGCACATTTAATCAGAGAATGACCTGCCAGTGCAAATGGGCAGGTCAGCATAGCCACCTTGCTGGCACATCTCAGGGACGGCAGCTGTGAGTGTGACTAGGAAGTAGGAGAGAGAGGACCCCACTTATAAAACACTGACTGAGTGAAGGAAGGTGTGTCAGATGCTTCACCTAATTCATGGGATGTGCTTAGCAGCCATGCAGTATTGCTCTCCTTCATATTCTGGTGTGGATGCTCAGAGCTTTAATCACGAACCCGAGGTCCCATAGCTCAGACATGGTGAACTAGTGCTCAAACCCAGGTTGTCTGTCCCTGGATTGGCTCCCAGCGCCTTTAGGATATGTGATCAAGAATGAACAGTGTGCAGTGTGAAGTCGAGAGCACTCTCTGGGGTGACAAAGAGCAATTACAAAATAATGGCTGCTTGTTTTCCCAGGAAACTATTTGTGGTGTGCCCTGTACCAGACGGGCAGTGGGATAGATGGTGTGGTTATCTGAGAACTCACCTCTCTTTCCTGGATGTAGAAGAGGCTGACGTAGTCCCTTGACAGTGGCCCAGTTTTCAAGGGAATTCTGCTTTGCTGTCCTAAAAATGAATTCCACCGAATCCCCCCTTTCTTGGGACACTCTGTGGTGAATGCCACTCCTCCTGAGGCCATCCTGCACACCCCAGTGTAGACTTTCAGCCTCCTACTGCCACCTCTGGAGTCCCTGCCTGCCACTCTCATTCCCTTCCAGCGACTGATCAAATACAATCTCTGTTTTGGTCTTTACCTTCTCTCCAGTTTTATCTCCTTGAGCCCTTCTGAGATCAGTTTTCCTGTCAAAGTGTAATGCTGTTAATCTCAAGAATGCCAATAGTTCTGAATCTTCTCCCAGAAACACACACACACACACACACACACACACACACACACACACCCCAAAAAATTGTGTAGACCTCAGAGTAAAAAGTTTGTGGGAGGAGATGGGGTCTCCCCTCAAGGCGTCTTTATGTGCTGAGAGGCCACTGAATGCTGCCTGTGTGCAGGGCAGACTCCCCCTCGCCTGCCCTCTGTGTGGAACGTTGTGCTCGCTCTTCACAGCTCAGGTGCTTCAGTTTTATTCTTCAAGAATCACAACGTATCCTCTACTTCACTCCCTCCTCGCTGACTAGAGCAATGGTAGGCAAACTCATTAGTCAACAGAGCCAGTTATCAACAGTACAACAATTGAAATTTCTTTTGAGACCCAAATTTTTAAAACTTAAACTTCTTCTAATGCCACTTACTTAAAATAGACTCACTCAGGCCATGGTATTTTGTGGAAGAGCCACATTCAAGGGGCCAAAGAGCCGCATGTGGCTCGCGAGCTGCAGTTTGCCGACCATGGTACTAGAGCAAAGCTGGTTATTCACACTCCTTGTCCTGTCCCCATTGGCGGGCCTGTACTACGCACTCACAGGAATTGACAATCTGAAAAGCAATTGGAGAGTTGAATAAAAGGCCGAAACCGATTTGGCTCAATGGATAGAGCGTCGGCTTGGGGACTGAAAGGTCCCGGGTTCGATTCCGGTCAAGGGCATGTACCTTGGTTGCGGGCATATCCCCAGTAGGGGGTGTGCAAGAGGCAGCTGATCGATGACTCTCTATCATTGATGTTTCTAACTCTCTATCTCTCTCCCTTCCTCTCTGTACAAAATCAATAAAATATATTTAGAAAAAAAAAGAGTTGAATAAATGAATATGAGATTAATTCTTGGCGGAGGTTAGAAATTGTGATTTCCAGAGAAACTAAGTGTGCATTGGTTCTTTTAAAAAATATATATTTTTATTGATTGCAGAGAGGTAGGGAGAGGGAGAGAGAGATAAAAACATCAATGATGAGAGAGAATCATCCATCAGCTGCCTCCTGCACACCCCCTACTGGGGATCCAACCTGCAACCTGTGCATGTGCCCTTGACCAGGAATCAACCTGTGATCTCCTGGCTCATACATCCATGCTCAACCACTGAGCAACACTGGCTGGGTGGGAATTGGTTTTGCCAGATCAGTAAGTTTAAGGACATTTTCCGGGTTTCCCTGACTGTCAGAGCATGCAGCAGGAGCACCACACAGCTCTGAGTGGCTGTGAGTCCATGCCTTCTTCTAAATTTTCCTTTCTGACTACACCAGGCCTGGTACTTTTCAAACCCTGCCCACTGTATTAACTGTTGGGAACTTAGTCCAAGCTCCTCCTTTATCCTCTGCTCACTAATGACAGGTGTTGGGTCTGAGCCCCTCTGCCTGGGCTGGACCTCCTAGGACATGGGTCTTAGATGGAGAAGCCAGGAGAGGTTGTGATTATAAGAACGAGTCTTTCTTGCAGAAGACTCACTGGGCCATATTGCCATCAGACAAGAACAGTCCTCACAGCAAAGCCCATACAAGACAGGCAGCTGGACACAGGCTGTTGAACATATATCTTTCCCATAAAGCAGCATCAGTCTCTATAATATAGAGTCTACATCCACGCTATTATCTGAGCAGCCGCAGCTGCCTCCTAGAATCACCACATCACATCACAGTGGCAGCACCTTCTCCGGCTCAGCAGCTTCTCCTGTCTCTCCTGCCCAGCTACTCTCTCTAGCAGACTTCTTCTTACTCCATCCTCAGGCGACTAGACTAGTCAGCAACCTATTTTTCTACCATTGACAAAGAAGGCTTCGTGCCAGTAGTAACATCAATCATACTGGCTACTGAAGGGCACAATGTACTGTGTGTCCTTGCACCCGCTCATGGTATCTTGGCCTGATTATGGCTCCAGGCTCAGAGTCCTGGGACATCCCATCTAGGCACAAGCCCAGAGCGGCCTTTGGCCATTCTGATGTACTGACAACAAGGCCTCTGTGCTCCTACTGGCCTTGACTATCTGGGCACCTGGCATGGTTCCCACACTGACAAGTGGAAGAACACAACATTTTTCTGGATCTTTCTTAACTCTCTTCACACTGTTTCTCAACCTCAGCACCATTGACCTTTGAGGCCAGATAACTCTTAGTTGTAGGGGGCTGTCCTGTGCGTTGTAGGATGCTCATTGGCCCCCTGGGCCTTTACCCACTAGATGCCAGGAGCACGTTCTCCACAAGTCGTGGCAAGAAAAATCTCTCCAGACATTACCAAAGGCCCCCTTGGGGCAAAGTCACCTTGGGTTGAAAACTCAACCCAACGAATATTTTATACTCAACAAACGTTTTATCTGGTTGC